GCATTTTCTACACTGAATTAATTCAGTTCCACTATAAAACTTATCTGGTAGCTAATTTGCGACTGATACCAGCTACCACAGATAAGATAACCTCGAAATTATTATAATATGCGGTCGTTGATGTCTTTTCTTTGGTCGGACTTAATATTAAGATTTCAACGGAATTATTTAGAAAAACCGGTAGCAGTTTGTCATGTAGAGATGTTTCTTTTTTCTTTTGAGATTCAACCTTTAATATTGTGTATATTTTATGACTTGCTCCGTAGCTCAACACTTACCCAGTATTGTGTTAAGCAAGAGAGTTCCTTGCATTATATCCCGGGGCGACAATTTTTTTTCAGTCGGGCACCGCACAATCCGATTCTGTCTGAATTACCCGATAATCTACTTTGTCTGTAAATAGAATTGATCGGAGAATCAGGTTCAAAATTGTCAAAATCCTTATTAAATTAAATAGGTAGCTCATAGTTGACTACTGTCTGTAGTTTTGCGGGTAGAACCAATTTAATTAAAACACATCTAACTGTTTGAAAGGCGACACATATTAGTCATATTTGCAGTTTACAGCAGCATAGGTCACCGGGGAACCGAAGCTTTTATCGAACCGTTGTAAAAGTACTTGTTACTCGTTTTAGATCCTTAAGGTGTTTTTGTTTTCATAGTCTAGATCAGAGTTCCCCAAGATTTTTTGTGTCGTAGACCCATTGCCATGTTTTTCCGTGTTGGGTTGACCCACTTACCTTACCTTACACTTACCTGATATTGATTTCCTGTAAATTCCTAATTGTAGTGAAGTTTGGTGTTAAAACAAAAGCACAACACATGGTTATAAGATAGCATGATGTAAGTAAATACGTAAAATCCCCGTATGTGTTAAGATCCACTATCGTGGACCCCTATTTTTAATTCATAGACCCCAATTTTTTTTTCGCTGACGTAGACTCCTTGCAGGTTGTCAATGACCCCTAGGGGTCTGTTAGCATCTTTGGGAATCACTGGTATATATGATTACGGTATTAAACATTCCAGCAAGTGGACCAACACATTGTCTGTTCTCCTATGTCATAAAAAAGGAATATTTCTGGTCCGTTTGATACTAAAGCTTCTTTTCCAAGTGTTCTCCAGACGACTAAAATTGAAGAATGTCCACCGACTGTAAAACACTTAATCTAGCTCCGCGAGTCCATTAAAAGATTATTTTCGGTCGAACAAAACTGCTAACGTCCTGTTCAATATAGAAGCCAATGTGTTACCGAGTTTGTTCGCTTTGAAGATGATTAAACTAATGACAGTGCTGTTGGGCGCTGACAGTGTGAAGAACGCAGCTGTTTATAGTTGGGCAATGCTTTGTAGTGATAATTTGGGAATCTATGTTTTAGGAATGCGTTTCGATTCTTTTAATAAATAGGCCGGCAGATATATTTTTAACGCGGTTACTGAGTAGCGTGTGGTTTTATAGATTTGAGAATATTTGAACGAAAAGAATACTTAAGAAATTGGCGGGAATCGAACTTGTAGTAGACGGCGTAACAACTTATTTTTAAGAGATAGAGACAGAGAGTGCAGATTAAAATGCCTGCTACAAAAACTTTTTTTGAATATTGAGTTATATTCTCTTTAATAAAAAATAGTTTCCCCGTGACCACAGCTGCTGCAAAGATGCGAAACATCGGGCGATATGTAGTTAAAATAATGTTAAGATAAGCTTAACTAATATAGGTATATCGTGTTTTAAGCCGTTAGTGTTTTATTTAAATTTGTACTACTCGCGTAAACTACAGACAGAATTGAATTGTAAATAACTTAAACAATAACATTTCACGTTTTGAACCGTTAAAAGTTATTTATAAATAATATATTAAATTAAAATATACATTTAAGCGGGCACGTTTTTAGATTTATAACGTTTTTAACGATTTAAAACGCGAACTTCTAGCAATATGGTAACTACAGACAATAATTAAGGAGGTGGATAAAATAAATAAATAAAATACTGTATATATTTTACGCGAGTAGTACACATTTAAATAAAACACTTTAATGGTTTAAAACGCGATATATTAGTTAAACTTATTTGAAAATGATTTTTAACTTCGGCCCGACGTTTCGGATGCTTTGCATCAGCCGTGGTCACGGGGCGATCTAAAGTTAATTGAAATTAACTAATATATCGCGTTTTAAGCAGATAAATCGTTTTATTAAAAAAATTAATAAAATGTTAATTGGTACGGACCCATATGTGCGCCAATCCGTCTTCGCTTGGCCGTTTTTTAAAAAGCTGATTTAAGAGTAAATACTACCTAGTACATAGTTAGCTTGAAATAGGAATACTATATTGCGTGGTTCCTATAATCTGACTAAGCAAAAAGTTTTTTGTTAGAATCACTTTGTTCTGTCAGCAGTCAAGTTTATCAAATTAAAGTCTGCAATAGCTTCTTATTCGGAGATATATGTATATTTTATATGTTTATTACTTATGTACAAACGTACATAAGTAATAAACATATAAAATATATGATAACACTGCAACAGTTAAATCAGTAGTGAGTAGGTAAGATTTTAGTAACGGATGCAACTATAGCTAAAAATCACAAAAACGAAGATACACTCCCCAAATTTGTATAAAATAAATACAAATTAATTCAAATTTGTATTATTTTATACCTTTTTATGATTTTATTATTTATAGCAACCTCTGAAGATAAATTGTTAACCATGTTGCATTGTTTTAAACGCAAGATATTCTGGGTTCAAATCCCAACGTTTTAAACGCAAGATATTCTGGGTTCGAATCCCAGGATAACAACAGACTCTTTCCCAGTAATGAGATCAATTACTTGCCACTAAAAGAACCGATCAATGAAACGGACACATAAATGAGTTGGAACCTCTCACTTTATTCTTTAGAACTATTGATATCGAGATATACCTATTAGTTACATAACAATCATTTCCCGGGCCACTGAAATTCAGTGTACGGCTGAGCACGAGGTATTTTAATAATACTGATAATCAGTGCACGCTCATTAATAATCTAGTCATTAATGTGTACAGTGTGTACGCGGGCCGTCGCTACTTTAATGAATTTTTAAACAAAAACTTAATTAAAAACCGTATCTCGGCAGAAGGAAATGAACTCATTCCTCGTGGTTACTGACGGGTCGAGTGACGGCAAATTCAAACCACTGTACTTAGGCCTCTTGTGTCCTCTTCAAACCGGCTTAACTTACGAGGAAGCGAAATGGCGCTTCGTTCTAAGACGATGTTTGCGTGTAACGAAGAATACGTAATATGTACAACTATTTTCTCATATGATAAGTAGACTAATAGACTAATAGTAGTAATCTAAGGATCGTGGGTTCGATTACCAATTCTATTTTTTTAGGTGGTAGGAATAGAGAAATTACGACTGGCACGAATAACCGTCCACAGATGACAAAGCCGTGAAGCTTAATCGCGGTTTGGTTTCTGTGGATTTCCGAATCTCCATAGCCAGAATAGTTCGACAGCGCTTCTTGTATAGTTTTTATATGGCTGGGTTATTTCACCTTCAATGAATTGCTTGTCTATCTTCCTCAATAATAAAAATAAAGATTTCGTTAAATATTAATGATAAACTTCAGTATAATCAACTCGTAAAATACAGACTAATGTATGTAGTTTACGAGAGTAGAACTTTTCGCATTTTAACTCGTTAAAAGTATTGTCTACCTTTAGTATTTCAATATGCTCATTTGTTCTGTTTTATTTATCTGTGACAAAAACTTGTGTTACTGAATACTGCTGATAATGTAACAAATATTTACACAGGGCTCATTCCCTATTTTGAAACGTTTCTTCAGTTAGGTCAAAATACAAACGTTTATTTAAAATTACTACTTTGACAATTATCTCTAATACATCGACTATATGAGACTTTAAATTTTTAATACATGTAAGCGAAGGCTTCTTTGTCGTAAATTAAGCGCTTGTTCGCTGCAAGGGTTATAGAATATAACAGCTGTTTTTCTTACTTATATGAACTAGTCTTAACATAAAATTGATTTAAAATTATAGCGAAAGTAAATAGTTTTCTAAAATTGCATATAAGCTAGACCTCTTCAAGTTAACGATATTATTAGCTATAAATTATTCTACTAGGAAAGATTTTAATTTATGTGTGAAAATACGTAGTGTAACCGTTTTAATAGTTTTTTTTTAACTGTCTGTATAAAGTGTAGTCTATTATTGTTTATAGCAAGCCTTTTATAGATAGCGTTTTCCCTATGTACAATGCAACGGTTTCTCTCACAAAAAAGGGCATGTTATTTAACTATTATAACTCAATTTTAAGTTATATTTGTAAATAGTGCAAGATTTTTTAAAGCAGATATATTTTTACATCTCAGGCTAAACATTTTAATTATTTAAAGGTATAATTAATTATATACATTCTATATTTAATTCTCATTTAAATTTAGTTACTGTCATCGGTGTTTTTATGGAAGAGAAATACAAACTATTTCTTCTGTAAGAAAGAAATAAGCAGTAATACGCAGAAATATCCTACACAATTGAGGGATTTAACGGTTCAATAGTAGCTCTGTATGGCCTATCAAGACGTCATGTCCTTAAAATTTCGGAAATCTGGATATTGAATGGGTGGTAGGAATATCCCAATTCCGTCCGGGCTCGAACCTCCATCCATAGACGAAAGGGTAGTTTAATGGCGTTTCGTCTTCAGTCTGTGGATTTCTAAATATCGCAAGCCGAATTAAGATAGCGTATCTAGTTGAGATGCTATTGGGGGTTCCTCAATTGAAAAAGAAAGATTTATCATCTCGAACGATAAAAACTAATAAAAATAAGTAGCAAGTAGTTTAAAAGCCAGTGACGAAATATTAAATAAGTAACTTCTTCATAAATAACAATTCCCACACACTTGCATTCGAATACTTTCAAATCTAATTTCGATAATATAAGAGTGCTCGTAATATTCGTGTGCAAAAAGGTGTATGAAGATGCTGGTTTCAACAAAACCAACACGGTCCGGCCACAAATTGGCGGTTGGTTGGAGATGGCATGTCGTGACCGCTCCGTCGCGCCTCGGGCTCGCTATGTTGCGGGGCGAGCGACGAGCGACGAGAGATAAGCTGTAAGTTATGAGCGACAAGCGATTTAATAATAAAACAGTATTAACACCAAAAAGTTTAGTTTATTTCTAATTTTGTATGATATTTTTTCCTTTCTAGTTTCGAATTAAGTTACAATATGTGATATTTATTTAATCATACCTATGTTTAAACGGTTTTTATTTATTTCTTAGAATACATTTAGATAGTCTTTTTCAGTAACATTAGGTCTATGAGCTGGTATCATTTGGGAGGGTTGATTGATTATGGACAATTATAGATGACTTTGTGTAAATTGGGACTTTTAATTGAAGAATTATTCCTGAATCAGAATACTAAACTTCATATTATTTTCTTTTCAAATAGACATTTTACCTGGCTTGAATTGAAATGTTATAAAATTACATAAATGTTAGCAAGTATTGTATACATTTATGACTTTATTATGAAAATAAAATATTGAATTGAAAACGTAGTACTTCGTTCGAGATTATCGTCGCTTTTAGCGACAGTGTCGGTCCAGGTGGGTAATTCTTAATAAAGTGAAATAAAACTGACGGCGACATAAACTGAAATGTATATAAGATTTCTGTGAAATTAGTGACAAAAGTCGTCGTAAATATCGCTGTTTTCAGAATCGCCGCCTCGTCCGTGTCTTGTATTTGCTCAGTAATAGTGGAAATCCATTAAACAAGTTTCTTTTAGCGATGCAACAACAAGACGACTGCATTTCTGAATTACATCCAGACGATTTAGAAACAAAATTGCGAGTCTGTTTATGCAATCATCTGTACGCTGCGAAATCTATTGTCTACAATATGCTAATGGGGGCTGGTTATGTAGATCGCTATTGAAATATGCGGGCCTCAATTACATGTGTTTAATGTGGAAGTTGCAAAGGTCATTCAATTGAGCATATGCACATGTGTTTATAATATTCTAGATATAGGTTCCGTTGGCTACCTGTCAGCCACCCCATCTATCATAGAGCACGATATTAAACTCAGTCCATTTCAAACTAAAATTTTGAAACTTTCAGCTACAATTTAAAATTGTGAAATGGGAGAAAGCACGCGGCTCCTGCGCCTAGTGGGGATGCGCCAGATTTCAGAACACCCTCCCCCCCTGGTAAGTGATTATCAATTAACTACGAACTATATTACACTAACGGAACTAAAATACCAATGATAAAAAAAATTATATATATACACTTTCATAGAATACTTAAATATAAGCACAATATGTCTCTGTAGCCAAATGGTTAAACGTATTGCCCGTCATTGCGTTAAGTGCGAGAGTTCCGGGGTTCGAATCCCAGGGAAACAAATGAAAAAATTGTTTCGGTCAGGCAGGACACAAGTCTGATCAACCACTTGTTTGTAAAAAAATGGATGAGTGAAACGGACACAGAAATGTGTTCGCCCCATGCCCCACGAGGGTAAAAGGGGGTTTCACATTTTTTATACCATAGTTTACAAGAGAAGTGCGTAATTGTTATCGAGCTTTAAATAAAAAAAAATAGGTCTTAACATTAACATTAGTTTTATAAAATATTAACTTTATGAACACATTTTATGAACGTATGTCTAATTATTATAAAACAATATTGCTGGTGAATTCTAAGGTATTACGTATGGTTAGTTTAAAAAACAACACTTTCGATCAACTATTGAAACGTAATTATTGGTTGCGCTAAATATACTCTGTGGTCCTTAAATAGAACAGCAATCACATCTATTTCCCAACAGATCACAATACACTGAGTCATAATAAGAGGAATCGATGCATTCGTTGTCTAACGGTCGATTTATTTGATTAATTTTCATTGCATCGTTATGATGTAATAGTTTATTTGATGACTCAATTCTATGAGAACTTAGTTAATAATCTGTTTAAGTCGTGAGTATAAAATTAATACGTTTTGTCTTTGGATTTTAAAACATTTTGACTGGACAGGCAAAAGCATGAGTGAAGTACCCCAGCCGTATAACAACTGAACAAGATCCGATGTCGACCCGACCTATTTTGGTTTCGGATGTTCAGAAATCCGTAGACTTAAACCGAAACGCGAAACTAATCATTTTATAGACACTTGTCCAGATTCTAAATTGATTTGATATATTGACACCATTCGACTCGGTAGCTCAACTGTTAGAGCAACAGCACGGAACACTGACCGGTTCAAGTCCTGCCCGAGTCAAAAATTTTTTCAATTTATTTTCGATTTTTAAACCTTAGTTAAAAATGTTTTTTTTTAAATATATATTGTAAGTTCTAAAATACAAACGAGAACGTCAATACGATTTAAAACAAAAGACGTTTACTAAATATTATTGGAAAACGATGTAAAAGATTTGAACTATTATAACAGGTACAGAAAAATGTCCGCACTGGCGCACAGTTTTAAATAAAAGTGGCATAAACTTTCATACAATTTTGATCCCTGCATGGCCGCTGTGTGCGAGCGATCCTAATTTGCATACATAGCATATAAATTCTCGTTTGTAAGATCACTGTGGCATTTTTATTGTGCACCTCTTTGTACGGGGCAAAAAATTGACAGTTTTTTATAACGAGCCAGACTATAATGTGACCCCTCGCTCGCTCTATACAAATATTAATTTTTAACATGTTGAAGCGGCAAACTAATCATTTTTTACGATACGGCAATTTTCCTACCTGTTATGGCGAGATATAGACAAGTTTTGTAATATTTGATAGTTCGGCCGTTGGCCTTTTGTTGATTACTAATAATTCTACGCGAAGGCCGTTCTTGATTTTTATTATCAAATATAATTACTGTATTGCCTTTTTGTGTTCTTATACCATCTTCATCTTCCATCGAGTGACAAAAGATCTTAGTGAAATTATTAGTTTTATAGAATAGTAACTTTTTTTATCTTCTTGCTTCAGTTTTAGATATCTTAAAGGGATTAAATAAAAATTAGTCAGAGGATCGATTCCTGGGAAAATTAAAGTTAAAACGGCCCTTACTTCGCATACTTCGAACAGCTATTTTTATACTTGTTATTTTTAAATGATTTTAAAGAAACACGGAAAATTAATAGATTTTTGACAGTAATGCCTGCGCTGACGCCCATGAAAATGGTCCTTCCTCAATCCGTCCAGCAATGCTCATCAGCAGAGGTCATAAACATTTCCAATTTTAATTCCTAAATATTTTACGACTGGTCATTAAAAATGTTATAAATCTGATTTATGACGCGTTCGGAGTGATCAGCGCATCCCGGTCCAAATTACACAGCATTCAATGAAAAGCATTCATTTGTTAATATTGTACGATAATATTTACAGCGGTTGTAAACATTTCGGCGATAAAGCTTGGTTATTAATAAGTTTAGTAGCAGTGCTGTTTGATTTTAAGTTTACGGCTGGCTGACGATTAGTCTTTGTAGGTGATCGCTAGTGAGATGTTGTATTGACTAAAGACCACGAATGATCAAACATTACTAACATTAGAATAACGAGTTGAAATGAGGCGGCTGTAGAGTAGCCTAACTGCATGACTTAACTTGTTTGTATTTTCATAGTCCAAAAATGTTAATCTACAAGAGCGTAGTGACCGAAAATTGTTAACATAATTCTTACAAAAATTCGTTTAAGTCAATTGCGCCTCCTTATTGAAAATCATGTTTTTTTATTAGGCAACTCTGCCACTAGCAGGCTCAAATATACCGTATTTTATGCGCGTTTAAAGCATTTTATACGTATGTACTGTCGTTGAAAGTTGTCATACTTACCTTCGTCTTTCTCAATGCACAAAACACATGTTTGTTTTAATAAAACATTTTAACGGTTTAAAACGCGGAATGTATAATGTATACTTATTTGAAATATATTAAAATTGAATCCCGACGTTTCGGATGCTTTGTAGCAGCCGTGGTTACGGGGAGACATGTCGGGTCGTAGTTAAATATGTTTAACTAACATATTTCAGGTACAGTCAAAGTGTTTTATTTAAATGTGTACTACTTGCGTAAACTACGGACAACATTTGTTTGTAATTTAATTCTACAAAGTATTAGTTTGACTTTATCTTAACTTTCGTGTACTAAGTTCTGTTTATATATTTATTAATTATATAGTAAATATAATATGCATAGTATTTCTTATGAGAACCGCACTGTTATTTGAAAGAACTAATCAATATAATTATTTATTGGGCATATAGTACGATCGTTGTCTGGGTCACGTCCATGATTACAGAAAACAAAGCTTGTTTGTCCGCGTGATCGAATCCCTTGCAGCTTTATGAGATCATAAAATACCGGACAGTCTGTCGTGCCTCGGCCGCTTTGAGCGTGCGAACGTATAATGAAATACAATAAACACAATGCGACGAAATGTAGTGCGTGGTTTATCTGTACTATATTTGGAGATCCACACACTGAATCGCGAACTTCACGATTTTTTCATCCTGTTCTCTAATTTAATAAATATCGAAATATAAATGTTAAGAAGAAAAGAGTCACTACTCTACTACTACAAAGTCACACTCCCCGACTTTCTTCGCTCCTATTACTTTCAACATTATGTTTTATAGCTAAAACCTTCCTCGATAATAGCTAATGGTTTATCCAACACAAAAATATTTTCCTTGTGATTTATGTGTTTAAACAAACTCATCAGCTTTATATTATAAGTATAGATGTCCCACCTCCTAAGTTTGATTTAAAAAAGGCAGACGAAGTAATATGTAAGTTTATATATTATACAATTATCCGAAATATACAATGGAGCACATAAATTGAGCGAACAGTTGTAATAGCTAGGGATTTCGTTTGCAAATAAGCGTTTTGAAATGTCGGTGAAAATTGACCCTTGTTCCTGATACGAGTAGGAGTGAGTACAATATTTATGCGGTCCTTGAGTCATTGTTCATCAGGACAATGTCTGTAAGCCGAGACAAATAATGTGCAAATTATTTGAATTAGGTTAAGAGTGGGTGCGCTGTCTATTGCTTTGATAGTCTGTTGACAGATAAGATTATTTAAGTCTGTGGAGATATATTTTCAATTAAACAAATCCTTGGACCAACTTCTTTATCTGAATTAAAAATGTCAATTACCAGCAAAATTCTTAATTTTTCATTCAAATAATATATAATTAAATATTACACGCATTTTAAGCTCAAAAATATTATATCCGCTTATCAAAACACACTAATCTTATTATAAAAAGCAGCATTTATCTTTTTACGACTCGTAATATTTTAATAAACCTCAATTTATATTACGTTTATTACAGGTAGCGTTATTTGAAATTTGCAAAAATCTTCGCGATTCGCCATTACCGCTTTGGCGGTCGTCCAAATCAAAATTATCAAGAAATCATCGCTACCACAGTTCGGAAATGAGTGTGCGTGGGCGCTTCTCAACTGTTTATGTAGTAATGGCCAATAAATAACAGGACTTGCATTATTATGTTTGAAGTTGTTTCAAATCGGCAGATTATAATGATATATGGTCCAAATGTCCAGGGTCAAAATAGATCCACAGAGCGTCTTAATGGCAAGTTTTAGGCTGAAGTGGACCTCTTTATTAAGCTTGCACCCATGCTTGTATGTTCTTCTCTAGAAGAAAGAAGATTTTAAAATTTGGTTTGTAAATTATATAACAATGACTATGTCTCTTCTATACTTATTTCTTCTTATATTGCAGTCTATTCCTTAATTAATCAAATATAATTATTATTTACTTTGTACGTTTATACTTTATTTGTATTTCGTGTCTACATATTTACAAGCTTAATTTATAAGAGCATACCGTTTGAGCCATGTGTCTAATTATTTAATCTTAATTCTGTAGACCTTATAAGAAATGTCTTTGTCTAT